ATTAAAGATTTTTTTTTGTGTTTAACAAATACTTTATTCTTCAAAAATAGTTATTTTGTTCTTTTTTTTTTTTTGGTAAAATAATGCCGAATCCGAACCAAAATAATTAAAATTTTAATATATATGTTAAAAAATGCACACTAGCATAAATTTTTTTTTTGTTGTGTCACGCGATGTCATTGTGCGGATCGCACTTTATGCTAATGTGCGTTCTCGAGCTTGTTAATGTGCATTTGTTTTAACAATATTGTGCAATATGGCAGACACTACTGTGCATCACAATGTGCATTCTCTGTGCAGGGTTTTCTGTATGTGCAAATCCACATTTAAACTAGATCGAAATAGTTGAGTTATGTGACTGGTTAATACCTAAATAATTGAAATGTTTTGTTTTTTACATTATAAGAACATATTTAATATTTTTATTTAACAGTAAAAACACATAATATATATATGCATAAAAAAATATAAAAATTAATATTTTCTATAAATTCTAGATTCACCCATGGACTAAATTGATATTAATCAAATTTATTGAAATTACAATCAGGCCCCTCAATCTAATCTAATTCTCAAACCCACAACATTCAAGTTGCAGACTCGTTGGCCCGGCTCCTGTCGCTGGCCGATCTTCGACGCCGCTGCCAATTGAACCACCGCGTAATCCTAAGCTCGCGCGTCCGAATCTGGTCATCTGTTCCCCCCGAAGAGACGGTGCCTCTGCTCGCGGAGACGTTGGAGTAGTCAGTGCGGCGGAGGGTGGTTACGGCGGAGCTGCGGCGTGTAGGGCATAAACGACGAAGCTGCGGCGCTGTCACTTCTTGTATGATGTGCCGCCGTTGTCGTGGCCGAGTACCTGGAGCTATCGTGGTCGACGGCGGAGTTGTGGAGGGGGGAGGGGGAAGGAGGTGGGAGAGGGAGCTAGAAACAAGGGCAGCGATCGGAGGTATCGAGGAGGCGGTGGCGGAAACTNGAGCTTCCGTTCATGAATTGCAGTTAGGGCGTGGTCTGTTTGTGGGGGGAGATGTGTGTGTTTGAGAGAGAGAGAGAGAGAGAAATAGAAAAGAGTAAATGAGAGAGACAAATATGGTGGGAGCTTCCAACGTGTGAGATGATGGGTGGTGGGTCCCATTGTTTGGTGTGTGGAAAATTCCTATCTTACCCTTAATGAAAGTATGAATTTGGTCTTTTTTTTAGCTGTTGGATCATCCGATCCGATGGTTAAGATGTATTCTTATTTCTTTCACTGAGCATCATTCTCGCCGGAGCGTGACCGTATATATATATATATATAGCATCAAATCTAGTGTGGGATTGGAGCAGAATTTTTGCGTTATCCCCCTTATATGCTGGATTTAAGTGGCAGGCCGCATGCTTCGAGGTCTAATGTGGCAAAATTTTATGCTTTATTTTATTACCTGGATTGATTTTAATTTACTTACGATCCACAAATAATTAAGTCCCGATTATCCATAAATATGGTGATTGTTTACGGTCATTTTAGATGTGCTAATTTCATTATAATAATTGAATTGTAAATGTATTTTAAAAAAAAATAATCTTTATATCTTTTATCAGTTTTACATATATAATATATTAAATTAGTCATCTCTTGATGAGTTCCGATTTGACATCTATATTGTATGTATAAAATAAATAAATTTTATTTATCTTTATAACAATAATAAAATGATTTATTTATATTAATTAACTAAATAAAATTATTTCTCACTTAATATGTTTATGTTTATAGTATTAATATGATATAAGTTAGAAAAAATATTATAATATAACACGTAAGTCACACATGTAACAAGTGTCATTCCAAAATATATAATAATATATGTTTTTTGTAAAAAAAGTATTTAAATTTTAAAATATTTTTTCACTAATTTTAAATTTTAAAATAGTTTTACTTTAACAAACACGTGTAATACGGATATTGTACTATTTGTGAAGTAACACGCAACTCGGCGGCGTTGGAGGCTAGGTCTGCCATTCTCACGTACATTCATTTCATCAACTTACAGTCTTACGTGGTCTGTGCCAATCTCACATGTCACAGATAATATCAACGGAGGTAGGTTGAATTCTTCACCACCAATTTAAAAAGTAATAAAATCAAAAGATGTATTCTTATGAAATTTGGCCAACAAGAGTTTTAGATGTTTACGGCCCAACCTCACATCCTTCATCGCAGCCTAATTTTGTCCAAAGTGTGTGAAACCTATGTATAGGACTGACATTTTTTAACTGAAAAGCGAACCAAATCAAACCGAACCGAACTGAGGAGAAAACAAATCGAACCGTACCGAACCGCTTGCAATGGTGACCAATTATCGATTACCGAATCACTATCGGTCCGGTATCGGTTTTGAACCCATAAGGGTTGGGTAAAACTCATCCCGAACCGATAAGGGTAAGAAAATTTAGAACAAGGATTTTTTTTTTTTTTGTAGATATTAAAACAAGGATTAATTGTTTAGTGTTTAGTGTTTAAAAATTAAAATATAGACTCAAACCCTACCTAAACCCCTAACTGACGAGAAAAATACCACTACACATCTCCTCATTCACCTATTCTCACCAAAACAAATGTCGGTTTACCAGTCTCACTCCTTCTATGGAAGATGGTACTGTAATATAGTTTATTCTCGTACCACCGTTGCTAGATAAGTTAGTTTAAGTTGTACCACAAATTTTATTTTTTGGATGTTTAACAATAGATTGTTTTATTAGTTGCGTTTAACACAAAAATCAGAATCTAACTATATTTAAACAAATTTCTAAATATTAAATTTAACTCTTTAATCCTTCAATGAATTTGTGAGTCTTTTGTGTATATTTAATTGGTTTGGTTTTTCCGGTATAAAACCGAAACCGAACTGAGCTTTCGGTTACCGAATATTCGGTTACTGACTTTAATCGGTTCGGTATCGGTTTTGGATTTTGAGGTTACCGACATTATCGATTCGTTATCGGTATACGCTTATCGATTCGGTTACCAAATCGATACCACCCCTACCTATATGTATACCACAAAAAGTACCATTCAATTGGCACACGTCGAATTAATATCGTGAAAAAATGGGTACCCAATTACTAGCCACACCACCGAAAGTACCATTCAATTCCTACGCATTTGTTAGTAGGGTTGAAATATGCTTTGTATTTAAGGACATTAAAGGTGTGATTGGAGATAAATCTTAATTGGTTTTGATTTTTTTTTTTCAGTCATAGTTGATTTTGATGAAGTTAGTTGCGATTAGGTTTGAATGAAAGTTTGTATATTAAAAATATGTGAGTGCATTAATAATGATTTTGTGATGTATGAAAATGATTAATTGATATTATAAATTATATTGATAATACTAAGAGCATCTGCAATTACTCATTCATCCTTTGTTCATGTAATCACCAACAGGGGCGGATCTAGCACATAAAATGAGTAGGGGCCTACTTGTTTCTAGAAGATAAATATAATACATCATAATAAAGTATAAACACAATAATACACATTCATAGTAATTCTTATAAGTTTTCATAGTTTGGTATGACTCTATAATAAAGTATTTACATTTTCTTTTAGCACAACAATATTATAATTAACCTCAAGTATATTTAGACTAAAAGTAGCTAATTTTGAAATATTTTAAAATGCACTTTTTTGTCAAGACTATTTATAAAAATATTTCTCTATATAAAAAAACAAATTACAATGTATAATATGCTTTATCTAATTTATCTAACTTTGAAGAGCCCTAAAATTTAAATTATCAATCTTACACAAATTTAAATATGTGAACATAGTCTTCTAAGAAACAACACTCAAATAACTACAAATTTAAATTTTTATATCTAATCTAATAAAAAAAGGACAAGATTTACTTTTACCAAAATCAACAAGAGTGATTTCTTTTCTCTATTATTTATTTCTTTTTTCTTTCTTTGGCTCCCACATGTATTGTTTCTTATTTTTTTTATTTTTAATTTTATTAATAGACCATAAAACTACTATATATAAGCTGTAGTATTTTTTTTTTTTCAGTGTGGGCCTAGTATCAATAAGGCTACGCCCCTGATCACCAACTATATTTTCTATCACCCACATCATGTCTACATCATCTTTCCACTAATTATCTCTCAATTTAAACAATCTTATGCATTTTTTGAATCATTTTTTTTCAAACAAGAAACACCCCAGAGGAGTGGGGGATTAAGGTCGGGTGTTTAATCATATAAATGCAAACATATCGAACCCACTATCCACTTATTCAATATTATCTTTATATTCTATTTTTAAATATAATAGAAAAAAAAATGGTAATCAAATGCATTCAATGTATTGAATGGCAACTAGTGCCCACATCCGTGTGAATTCTGCTGGAAGCATTTAAATGAGCACCCAACCACATCAACGTAGGTGTCCTAAGCGCAGTGTTCGTGCTGAATTAAAACATTTTTGTGGTTTTGTATTTGCAACCTATAGTGTTTTAATTTTATTTGTAAAGTGCGTCTATAAACTTCCTAAACATTTATAATTTACAATTTCATGTAGTATACGTGATTTTGTATGTAAACCTACCGTATTTTTCTTTTTTTTCTTTTTTCTTAAATGTAACATAAACTTGATGAATATTTTTCTCCTACATCTCAACCACACACATATATCCATTCTTGCTTATGATTGTATGACTATGATGTACAAGAAATTAAAAATTATGAATGTTCAGAAATGATATATATATATATATATATATATATATATATATATATATATATATATATTATAGTACTTTGCAAAGTCAAATACGCATACTACTTGCAACCAATTGTATGACAAGCTACACGAAAAGCATTACTTTGCACGTTTCTTTTCTAGTACATAGTCAACCTTTTTTTCTTTTCTTTCGGGTCTATATAAAGAGGGCAATACATTTGTGCTTAAGTCATCACAATTTAGTTACACAATAAGTCACATAATGTTTAGTTGTAAGAATATGGCTTCATTGGCTCCGCATAAGGCCGGGTGGCGTGTTTTGCCGTACGTTATAATAATTATCTATTTGAGCTTCGTGTGTTGTACCAAGGCTGATGGTACAACACGAGTCCATGGCACGGTTGTGATTGATGGCAAAAGATATATAGCCGAGACTGATGAGAATTTCGTGTGCGCGACTCTCGACTGGTGGCCGGCTGACAAGTGCGATTACGGGACTTGTAGCTGGGGCAATTCCTCTATCCTCAATTTGGTTTGTATTTATATATATTTTTGTTTACGTTTTTTTGTTTTTAATTTTTTTCTTGTGTGGCTTAACAATTAACACGATATGCTCTTTTCTCCAATACTAGTACGGTGCCCGTGCGATGCACGGGAGCATTTATTATTATATATTTTTTAAAAGATATTTTTGTATTTAAATTGTCTCATGACATTAAAAATTTCATGAAAATGAAATTTATATGTTATTAAACACTTCCTTATGTACAACATTATTGATTTGATTCTTTGGCACGTAAAGTACTACATAGGTGTTTGAATTTATCCAAAATTGCATATTATTAGTTATTAGTTAACAAATTTAAAAAAAAAGATCTTATTTATTGAACAAAATTAAAGTAGAAAAAAAAAGTAAATTTTTTTAGAGATTTTCACCCATTATTTATTTTAAATCTAATTTAAATTTCAATTAAGAAAAATTGAAAAGAATCATTAGTTAGTCCCGGAAATGAAACCGATTTTCCTACCAATAAACCGATTTTTTTATCAAACAAATTGATCCGAACTTTTTTTTAAACCAAATAAAAAAAATCATCAATTTTTCCTAAAAATGCAACCAAATTTTCCTAACATTGCACCAATATTTGTACCATATAAATTGAATTAAAAATAATTCTAATAAAAAATTGAAATAAATTGTTAATGTTTATGCAACTATCTCTTTCTTAAAGAAAATGATATGAACTTAACCAAAAAAAAAATGATAGGAACTTACCAAAATCTCGGTAAAATATAGTTAAAAAAAAACATAAGAATCCAAAAAGATCGATGCATTTAAATTTTGAAAAGTTGCACATAATTTTTCCTAAATAATTAGATAAGGTGACTTTAAATATCAATGATGAACCGCTTTTGTTATCAAAAAATGTGGACACAATTTTGAATGTACATCCCATCCAAATATCAGTTTTATTTTAAAATAAAAATTGCACGTTGTTTTATACAATTTACACAATTTTTTTGAAAGAAAAAATTATTCAATAAGATTGGAAGAATTGGTTAAGAATTATACAACTATTTGCTTTCTAAATTTGTATCCAATTTGAACAGTTTTTAAATTAACTTGTATTTAAAATTGTTTTCATAAATAATTGACACATTTTTTACATAAGAATCTCCAAATTTGTTACCAAAAAAGATATGATTTAAATTTTGGTTAAAAAATAAAATATGATACGAAAAATATGGGATTCAAATTTTGCCATAGAAATCTCCAAATTTGTTACCAAAAAAATAGGAATTAGATTTTGTTACTAAAGATTCACATGTGTTTTTTTGAACTTTCTATTAATAGTAAGTCAAACATTATATTTATTTGGTCAAACTTTCTATTAATGTATTTTTCCAACAACCTCTTTATATATATATAGATATAGATATAGATATAGATGTTGTGCGCATAATTTCATTAAAAAAAAAATCATAATTCAAGAAACAACATAAACGAAAATAATTAATTAATAGTATAATATTGTCCTGCCTTCTTGAAAAAACTTTAGATTCAATACGGAAATTGAGAATTCAAAATTCTACTCTTACAGGATCTCAAGAATCCAATCCTCTTCAATGCCATAAAAGGTGTCAACCCTTTTACCATATTTATTTTCTCTCCTCTCCTTTTTTTTAAAAAATAAAAATTAATTTTCTCTTTACACTTCATAACTTGGGGTTTTCTTATTCCAAACTATCATGCAGAATTTTCACCTTTAAGGATTAGATTAGGAGGCACTCTCCAAAACAGATTGATATACCAAACCCGAGCCATCCCCTGCGTTCCATTCTCCCAAAACACGACTCAGTTATTCAACTACACCACGGGATGCATGCCCTTGACTAGATGGGACGAGCTAAATTCCTTCCTAACCCGAGCACGGTAAAAAAATGCATACTCGTTTGAACGAATATGTATATACACATTTGT